TATATATTTAAAATATATTAATATTTTTTTTTTTTTGGGAATTTTGAGGGCAGAGCCCGTATATAAAAGAAGGTAAAAAAGAGGTAAAAAACCTCTAGTAACATAGTAGCTCCAAAGAGCAAACTGCAAAAAACTATACCATTGGCCAAAAAACAAACAAAATTTTCCAACAAGCGAAGGTATAGAAAAAGAAATTGAACAAAAATGACAAAAAGCAGCCAGCAAAGATCTCGTAGAAGCCACAGCAAACAGATGGAAGAGCAAGCAAGCTTCAGATAATCCACAGGCATAAGAACTTCAAATTGCCATAGAGCCTGCAGCCCATATTAATATTTAGAAGCTTGAATGTAAAAATATATAAAAATTATAGATAAGTACTTCTATTAAGTAATTTTTTATTATTTATTTTTTAATTTTTTTATGCTTTCTTTCATTCTGTCCTTTGACCAGATTCCTTTTCAACACCTAAACCAGTGAGTTAAACAACCACTCCATAATCCATATTACTTCAATCAATTGGCTGCACGTGTGGACGTTACGTCATTCCTTCTCGTCACGTGCCACTGTCGATGCGGTCCACGTACACCCAGTGCATACAGATCGATCTGGTTAAATAAATATTTATTTTAAACTGACGTGAACAGTTTATTTATTTATAAACTTTTGTTGGTTCCGAGCACGAATTATCAGTGGCGTGGCTATAGATCCGGGCGTAGCACTGGTCCATGAAGTAGGGTCTCCGATCGGACGGCCAGTTGCTCTCCACCCGGTGCACCGATTAGGGAAAGCATAATTCCGTGGGCCAGTTGTACGGTCTTGCCAATGTTGGTCCACACTAGAGGAAAGAAAATGATAAAATTAATAATCCAATGAGAAAAAATGGATCATTAATTTATCTATATAAACTTTAATGCTTAATCCATTATTATGTATCAGAAAATTTGTCATAATAGATTATGCATTTAATATCTTTATTCTCTTGTACCCTCGGTGTGAGAAGATGAAGGGTGACCTCTAAGACGGTACCCCTCTACCCTCGGTGACTCATGATCATGAGATCGTTGCTGTATTTTCAGATGTTTCTAAAAAATTGTCGGTGTAATAGGAGTAGAATGTTTACGGGCAATCAATAATGGAGATACTGTAGCTTGAGAGTCTCTTAATGGTTGTTGATGTCAACCATCAATCAACACAATACTGTCTGTTTGTTTAGAGGAGATATAGGAGTTCGATGGTATACATTAGCGAGTGTTGAAAGTTGCAAGATGTTTGGAAAATTTCAAATATAAGTTTTGAAAGATAAGAAGTTTTTGTATATAAAATAATAAGAAAGAGAAAATTTAAGAAGCTTGGTTTAGTCGTAATGATCAATTATGTAATTATAAATACAATAATCCACTCTTTTTCACAGTTGAATAAGACGTAATTATACAATCATGTTTAGAAATCTAATAATGGAGTTGGATACTAACAGTAACAGGATAATAGTCCGATGATAGTAATAGTTAGCAATGATTATTGAAATGAGCAATAGACTTTATTACGTATCAAGGTTGGGTATATAATTGTAAATACAAGAATTCAGTCTTCTCACAATTGAAGAATACATGATTATATAAATTTGTTTTAGAAATCAAGCTTATATGGGTGGATAATTGAAATCTAATAATGGAGCTGATGCTAGTAATTAGTCAATAATAATAAGGCGACAGAAGTAGATGGTTATGATAGTGATTGATGATGTTAGTCATCGACATTCATTGTCAAAAAATACAATATAGTTCATTAAGTATCCCAGCTTATGAGACCCCCACCCCCTCATCCTCATGCTGTGAAAATGAGGGCCATCTTATAGCTTTTTAAGTGAGAAATTTTAATATTAATATTGACTAGAATCCAAAACACTTCATCGAACGATCCCATTGATTCTTTTAATTATAGGCCATTATTTAATATTTAAGTGTCTTAATGATGTTAGAATGGACTGAACTTGGACTCGTTTGGATCTTTACGTCCAACCACTTCATTTACTATAAACATAAGGATTTGAAATCCGTTCGTCTAATCTTTTATTAAATTCTTGAAGTTTTCGATAGCGCATTTGGAGTTGAATCATATTGCTTGTGATGTTGATGGATTTTGCTTGTCAAAATATTTTATCAGCCCCTTTTAAAAAAATTAATATGAAGTCAATATACATAACCTAAATTATAATTTTTTAAAATTGTTTTCATATATTAATTTGCTGTGAAATTTCTAATTTCCTCCCTCGCCATGTGATGTTGATCAGAAGCTGTCGGCCGTGGGATCCACTAACGTCTGCTCTCTTAAGTAGACTGTTAGCCCTCTGATCTTCATCAGACGGACAATAAGACAGAAGGCTATTTTTACTAAACTACCTCGCTGTAAAAAGCAAGAATCTCACGAAAAAGGACGAAAAAGACGCCACGTGTCCTCTAACGTTCGGGCCGCTTACGCGGCAAAACGGTATGTGTCGGTCCCACGTCCCCATGTTCCCTTTCCTTCACTCCTGCTTCCCGGATTCAATACAGCGCCAAAACAATTTGCTGCTCCGCGGCTGACTCAGGATTAACGTATGCACTTGCGAAAGCCTAGCACGTGGATGTATTTGTAGCGAAGCTCTATACTGATTAAACTGTTCCGGAGAAACACGTGAAGCGGTATCTCAGCATGCTTTCCTAGGGTCCCCGTGAAAAGCAGCCATCTGCCCTACGCTTTATATTTTTTTAAGAGTTTTATTTATATATATATATATATATATTGAGAAATATTTTTATATTTCTTAAAATAAAAAATAACCTTTGATTCTATTTTTATATGTGAAGTAATTAATTTTAGGAGAGTTTAATTAATAAAAAAAGTAATGAGAATATTATGATCAAATTTTGATGAGCATAATTTTTTAAATTTTATTAGAGTTTAGAAATTAATTTAAGTATAAATTTTGAGTACACATCGACAATATTGATTGAAAATAATTTAATATTTTATGAGGCATATTCTGATTAAATTTTCATTGAAATATTATGGTAAAATTTTTAAATATATTTATATTAGATCCAAATATTTTTATTTAAAGTTGATTGAAAAATATTTTTTAGTTATTGGATAAAAGTTTTTATTTGATCACAGATTTATTTAGAAAATCTTTTTATTGACCCACAAATTACTTTTTTTGTGTTGTGTTTATTTTTAAGAAAAATATATATTTTTTGAAATTACTTCATTTTTGAAAGAATTTAGAGCCCATATTTTACAATGAACTTATCATATTTTATGATTTATCATATCATTCAAAAAACAAATAAAGAAAAATCCTCCTCTTTTATTTCCGATAAATTATTCTATGGGGATACCAGACATCGTTCAGAAACCAACCAGAATACGCCGTCACTTTTTTCTGCAGTGAATAATTTCTCCCCCTTTCCACATGCTTATCGAATGTCTTAGTACCCTTTATTTTGCATCAAAAGTCGTGCAAGCAGCATGATTGTTAAACTCGTTGATGATTAGATATTTTCAACGCAAATCCAACGATTAGAAACACCGTTAGTTATTCGCTAAACTTACCATAAATACATGGGATTCTTTCTCGTTCGGTCGCCCTTATATCCTCGGCTTTCTTCCTTCAGTTCACTATATCTACGACTACGAGGTCTGAACCTCAACTCCTCTTCTTCTTCCACACCCCGAGAACCAACTCCCGATAGCTGTTAATTACGAGAATACCCCAACTTCCATGGATATGGAGTACTCCTCTCAGAACTGGCTCGCCTTCTCGCTTTCCCCCCACCCCGGCAACCTCTTCGAAGCCTTTTCATTCGCTCCCGGTCTCTCTCTTTCTCTCCCTCTCCATCTCCTTCTCTGTCTCTCTCTCTCTCTCTCTCTTTCTCTCTAACTTCATCATGGGTTTGTTGCAGCAGGAGCAGTGGAGGAGGATGGCGGATGCCTTGAGCCTAAGCTTGAGGACTTCCTCGGCGGCGGCGGAAGGGAGGAAGCAGAGGTAAATAACAAAGGCGCCATCTTTGACTCGGACTTGAAGTCGGTGGCCTCCGGATTTCCTTGCGGATCGGTGGCGGAGGAGTTGCCGGAGCAGCAGATACTGGAAATTTCGGCAGCTTTATCGGATACGAGGAAGGCCGTCGATACCTTCGGCCACCGGACTTCCATTTACCGCGGCGTCACCAGGTTTATTAAATAATATAAAAAATAAGCCATTTTACCTACATAATTACTCTTTTATCCTATGAAGATTAAAGAAGGGCCAGATGTAATTTCACGTGAAAGTTTGGCCAAACTCTTAAACAAAAACTTGTTCAGGATATGATGACACGATTTGATAAGCATAAGCTTAATAAATTGCCATGATTTTCCATTATTTTTTATTTTATTGATTAATTTATAGTTTTAGAAAAATATCTGTTATAAAATATGTTTATCTTATTACTCTTCTGCTCAATAATTATTTTGTGAAACAGATTAAATATTACATTATTAATTATATTTTAAATAAATGTGAAAAAAATATAATTTAATAAATATTAAACTTTATCTATTAATAAAATGTGATTATTACTATAGATTAATTAATTTCTGATAGGGCTATTTTGGGAATTTTAAGGCACCGGTGGACGGGGAGGTACGAAGCGCACCTATGGGACAATAGCTGCCGCCGGGAAGGCCAAAGCCGGAAGGGAAGACAAGGTACCCGCCGCCGCTGCCGCGTCTACACCGCGCCGCCGCGCTTTTTAGATTTCATTTCTTGCTCTTTGCTAACATGCGCTCCTTTTTTTTGTTCTGAAATCTGAATGTCGCGTGGCACTAAACAGTTTATTTAGGTGAGCTGCTATAACTAAATCTGTTTGTGATTCTGCACCGTCTGATGCTTATCGGAGCGTGGAGATCGAATTAAAAGCTGAAATATTTTTGAAATTAGGTGGATATGATAAGGAGGAGAAGGCCGGGCGGGCTTATGACCTGGCAGCTCTCAAGTACTGGGGACCCACTACCACGACCAATTTTCCTGTGGGTACTCTCACCTCCGGTGCTCCTAATCAACCCAATGGCAAATTCGTAAATACCATAGTGTTATGTATCTACGAAGTATTTATACCATTCGTATTCGTGTACAGGTTTCTGACTACGAGAAGGAACTGGAGGATATGAAGAGCATGACTCGACAGGAATTCGTTGCTTCTCTACGAAGGTGGCGCCTAACCCCACGTGATTGATGCTCATGCAATGCATGCATTTCTTCTTGCCCAAAAAAAAAAAAAAACTACAAAATTAGAATATTTATTTAAAAAAATATTAATTAATTGCATCTTAATATTAATGCATATTAAAGAGTAACATTTTCATTAAGGTTTCGTTTGAGATGACCTTCTTATTGTTTCTTAAAACAGCTTTAAAAATTATTTTAAGAAACAGTATGAAAGCCGTCCCAAACGAAACCTAAAGCTATTGCTTTCTACAACATCTTTCTCGTATAATAATTTGTCGAAATAAGAAAAAAATAGTAGTCAAATGCCAGTCTCAAATTAAGACTTACTATTTAAAATAAATTTTTTTATAAAAAAAGCGGTTCCAAATGGAATCTAAACCTAAAATTTTATCTATAATGATGTTTTTTATGTTTATAATTGTTTTCTTTCTTTGTGTGAAGGAAGAGTAGCGGCTTCTCAAGAGGTGCTTCTATCTATAGAGGAGTAACAAGGTATATTGTAAAATATATATAGAATATTAGGGTTAGGGTTTGATTGTTCAAGCTGATTTGGGATTTTTCATAAGGCATCACCAGCATGGCCGGTGGCAGGCAAGGATTGGAAGAGTAGCCGGCAACAAGGACCTTTATCTTGGCACATTTAGTAAGTACTATAACAATATTAATATCCATATGATCATATGAAGTTAATAATATATAAATGAAAGCACTATTCTCAATGCACGTACTCATATAGAAATTACTGTATTTACTTCGACATGAGCCGCTACAACATAAGCACCATAGCCAACAGCGATCTCCCCATCGGCAGCATGGCCACTCGAGCCTTCAAAGCCTTCGATGCCACCTCTAATTCTTCCTCTGATACGGTCATGGCGGTCGAAGAGCAACAACTGGCTGGTCGCGATGATCATAACGATTACTGGTCACTTGTTGCTTTCCACAACCCATACAATCAAGATCTGCAACAACAAGCTGCAGTCTCAGGGAGTACTGTGGGGCTGTACGCTTCGGGGATTAATATGGATTTTTCTGATGGAGTGGTAATGGAGAGTACTGATAATGGTAATAACTTGGTATGGAGGAATTCTGCTATTAATGGCGTTGGATTTGGAGGGAGTTTTGAAGGCACGAACTTTGCTGCAAATTCTAATTCGTACTATTATTACCAGACTGCAAAGCCAAATGTTTCTGTCTTTCAAAGTCCTATATTTGGGATAGAATGATTAGAAGCAGAAAGAAAAAGACAAAGGGAATGGAGAAAGAGAGAGAGTACTGATGTGAACTAACATTCTAGAGAGAGGGATAGAGATCCCAAGTTCTTTTTCTTTGTAGGGTGTTCTTTTCTTTACTGTACTGACATGATTCTATATTGTCATTAGACTTTTGAGACCCTTTGATTTGGATTTTTACTTTTCCAGCTAGCTGTTAGAATGTGTATCAATCATGATATCAGTATCAGAGGAGTAAATGTATTATCTATTTCTTTGCTTCTAAGTATTGTCGATCTTATGAACGTTTTAATCTGAAAAGATTGATGGATGGGAGGTGGCATTGAATGAGCTTATTACGTTTAAGCTAGTTGAGTATACATTTAAGAGCAGAACACTGAAACCTCCTCCTTTATTGCTTTTACAAAGAAAAAAATATTTTTGCCATTGATAGACATTCACTTACTATTTACCAAATAGCTTATCATCCTTTTCAACATCATCATCTAATGTGTCACGACTATTGATTAGAGTAAAGTTTTGTTTAGGACGACTTTCTTATTGTTTCTTAAAACAGTTTTTTCATATAAAAATTAAAATTTTTGTACTAAAATTCTGCTCTAAGAGATAGCAAGAAAGCCATTCTAAGCGAAGCCTAAAGTTCATAAATCTTCACTCTTATATATATTAATTTTTTGGAGTAATTGAGCATTTGTAGCATTAGGAGTAGCTTTATTTACACATGAATATCGCTATATTGGTTTTAAGCTTTGGTCATAAAAAGTGTTATGAAAGCTTATTTTTTTAGTAATGTTGGGCACTAATTCAAATTGATTTAGGTTCCTTATGAGCTCCTTCTAATACTCTGAAGTTGATGGGGTCCTTAGACCTTTTTGTTATCATCTAAGAGACTGAAAGGATAGGCATCAAGAGGGGAAAAGTAATATTCAAAAGCTTTTTAATTAAAAAAAATGAGAGAAGCATATGGTATTTATTTAAAATAACAATATAGTTTATAAAAATATAAGATGGTTTACATCAAAAACATAAAATTTTAACTATTTTCTCAAATACTTTGTACTACTAATGCATTTTAATTATATATATATTGGATGAATTACTCTAAAGTCTAAAAAATTATTACGTGCAGACGTCCAATACGTCCAGACGTCAATCAGGAGCAGCCACACCACTTAATGCTCAGTGCATTGTGTGACTTGAAGGAGAGATTATTAGGTGCGGAGTGTGGACAGGGAGAACCATCCGCACAAGCATTGGATACCTTGCGGTACCCGCACTCGGTGCCGCTGGGTATCGCTAGATACCCAGTACTTGTGCGGACGGAGCGCACTCCGCACCTAATAATTTTTGGACTTGAAGGCTCCTGATTGTCCTCCGAACACGTTCAACATCCGCATGTAATAATCTCTCAATTTAACTAATATATATTTTTTTCTTTTTAATATTTTAAAATAATATATACTAATCGTTGATAGAGAATAAAGAGATTTTAGTCCTATCATAATTTGTTCTCTGTTTATTTTCATTCAATCTTTCCTTGAATATGAACGCATGCACTAACTTACTAATATCTAATAATTTGTCCATTACATAAAAAAATTATGTTCTATTTCTTTCATACATTAAATATTACGTAATATAATCCTTCAAGTCTTCTAATACAATTAGAAAAATTCTACTATATTAAGAGAGGCCTGTACCTCCTGACCCAGTTGTAGGCAAGCCACAATTGGTGCAAAACACATTCATTTTGGGAGGTCGATCGATGGCTTGCTGGGAAAATGATTTCATGAACAGTATTTGTTGGAATAATCTGATTGATTTCCAAACAAATCATCTATACTTCAACATAAATTGACAATATATAAAATGTTGATTATATTTTTAAAATATATTATGTAATCAAGTACAAAGAATCATTGGTCATTAAAATAACATTATATATATATAATCATTGCTCACTAAAATGACATTATATATATGAAAAAAAATTGTCTACACTTTATGTGACAAATTTTGAAGCCAATTTTTCTTTTTGGTAGCAAATATCAAGTTTCCTTTTTGGTGACCCATTTTCTTGTAGTGAATGATCGAGCCAAATTCGAGACAACACTAACAGTTACTTATAAGTTTTCCCCCACCTGAAAATTAAGACTGGTTCTGCCCCTGTTCGCCACTTAAAATTTACCATAAACATAATGAATTTGTTCCAAAGATCAAAAGCTTAACAACCAAAGCTTCCCAATCCTATGACCAATTAGAAAAACTAGCTCAAACTCGCCAAAATTAGTCATCCAAGCTTGCCAAAACTTAGAAAACCTAAGTGAGATTGATGAAAGGCTTCCCATAAATTAGCCATTTACTTAAAACTCAACATGTATTCCCTATGTATTCTTCCCTACTTCTGTTTGTAAAATCAAATTGATAGACAAGATGACAACTATGAAAGCTTCGGGCCGCTTACAAAAGCCACCAGAAAGATCCTACTTATCTAAAAATGACTGGCTGACTGCCATGATAAATAGACCATGTCTAGAAGCATTCTAGCTAGCCCTTGTTGGTCAATAAAATCCATCTAAGACTTCGTTAAGGACAGCTAATTTCTTATTGCTTTTTAAAATAATTTTTTAATATAAAAAACTGCTTTAAGAAGCAGAAAGAAAGCTGTCCCAAGCAAAATCTAAAGCTTCATTTAAGATAACTTTCTTGTTATGTACTTTTTAATAAAAAATTTTCATTCAAAAATTTTTTCTATTGGTGTTGTTGATGTGTGTGCATGCTTTGTTTCTATCTAACCATGGATCTTGAAAATATTTCTTCTTACATCAGTGTAAGAAAATTTCCCAAAAAAAATCATCAGTGTAAGATGAGCTATTTTTATTTGAAATGTTTCAAAATATAAAAAATGATAGTTTTTATCCTACAGAGAAAACATGCTCTGACTATGAATATTTAGTCAAATTTTATTTTATTAAATAAGACTTGAGTATCTTATTGTAATTTTTTTGCTATCAAAGATTTACTTTAATAAATAGAGGGTCCATCTTTATGTTTTATCCAATGAATTGATTCTACTATTCTTCATAATCAAGCTATAATGAAATCTACATGGCTTATAACATAATATATTAATAAATTGAGAAAATATTATAAAATTCAATAATGTTTGCACGTTGCGCTTTTTGTTGTTTTCTTGAAGCTACCATGCACTTCTAATTATGATATTAAAAAACACCATACACCACAAAAATTTCTTAAAAACATTGAGAAAGCATTTATCAAATAAAACTAAGGCTTTATACTAAACAAAGCAATGAAAAAATTATTCCAAACAAACAAACTCTAAGGCTTTGTTTGGGGCAACTTTCTTACTGTTTCTTAAAGCAGCTTTCTAATATCAAAATTTTAATTTTTATACTAAAAAGCTCTGTAAGACAGCCTGATCAACATCAAAGTTCTGAAATAATTTTCATTAAACCCACAAAAAGTTCAATGATCCTATTATTGATATCATAAGTAATAATTTAAATTTTATTTGGGATAACATTTTTACTACTTTTTAAAACAGTTTTTAGTGCAAAAATTTTTATTCTAAAAAGCTGCTTCAAAAAGTAGTAAGAAAATTGTCTGAAATAAAACTAAAATTTATCAGGTTCGAAGACATAATTAGCATGGAATTAAAGCAAAAAAAAAAAACTAATCAAGATCTTCATTTTTATCATGTTGAAACCTGCAGAGACTTAAAACTTCAGCAAACCAAGTAAAAAAAGAGGCCAAGAAGGTCAAATATGTTCAGGGCATGCATATCCATTCATTTTTATAATCTGCTGGATCCCATACATATCATCTAGCTTGATAAGTTTGTTTATTCAATCTGTAGCTCATATAGCTTAAATTATTTGATTCAAGAGGAAAAGCAGAAGCTTCAATGCATGCTTTCAAAGAAAATGTAGCAAAAGTTCTATTACTAAAATAGAAGCCATACAAACATCTAAATCAATCATTCAACTTCTAATACCAATCCATGCGCACAGTCCTCTGATTCCTTTTGAATACTTCAAATATCCTAATTAAATATGCAAAAGCATTACTACTTTCTCTCTTTCTTATATGCATGCAAGAGAAAGAGTTTGACAGCTTATATTGTCTTTTCCTTTTCATTGTGGACTGAAAGAGGAACACTATAACAAATTTTTTGACTAAAAGTGCAGAAATCATGCTTTATTGCACTAACAAGCTCTGATAAAGATGCCATTAACTATTCCATAAAAGCTTGGCTTCAGCTAGCTCAAATATTATTCAGTCCAGCTCGTTAAGCAAACGAGCAATTCGTCGACACGTCAAGCGGAATAGGAGCTATTTTGAACAAAAAGTCCACTTACAAATGATAAATTACAAATAATACACATTGTTATATGTAAATATATGAGTACGTACAATACAACATCAAGCTATTATCCCACTACGTGAATACTTTTTCGTCATTGTGTTATGTTAAAAGTCAAATTCTCATTTAAATCTAATAAAGAAATATCATTTCTAATATTTTCTAACAAAGTCTTTTTAGTTATACCTCTACCTTTATTATTATAAGTCAAATCTAATACTTCTATTTTCCTAACCGGGTCCTCGGAATGCCTCCGTTTAATGTGACCTAATTACCTCCTCAACAAGCTCAACAAATATGTGAAGTCCATAACAAATATACGAGTATATACAATGTGTATATATAGTACATAATCAAGATATCAAACAAATCGAACAAAATCAAACAATATATGATTCATATTTGACACATTAAATAAATAAACTTGCAAAAATTAATCAAATTCAAACTAAGTACTATTGAAATAACACAATTGAACACAAGCAACATTTTTTTTTTTTTTAAATTTTTGACAGTTCTAACTAAGGAAAGAAGAGGCATCTTCTTTAAGATCATGGGGACTTTCCTTTGTCTGAGATGAAGACTAAGGGTTTGTTCTTTTATCTTTGTTTGATGTGTGAAGGACATAAAGGTCTGCCACAAGCTATATAATATGGTCTTCTATAATATAATATAGTAAACGTTGTTACCACATGGTGATGTTGGAGTTCATCAATGGCAGTGTGAACACTATCTATTCAATTAGGTGACCAAATCCTTTCTTTATTGCCCTTTTAACTATTCAATTGAGCTTACTGCACAGTAAGGGAGCATGGAAGGCATGAATCATGGAGGTTTGCTTTTTGACTGTACTTTCTTTATCATTATCTCTTCTATGGAATGTGGACTGGAATTAAAAAATTAACAAAATGTGTGCAGAACAATATGATATTTTTATAAATGTGGCTTTGTGATATATAAAATATTCATTTTTTTATCAATATCTTATAAAATTTTTGAAATTTATTGTATCAGGATTGGTTTGAGACAATAAAAATAATCATATAATGCCTTGAAAGGGAAGAAAGAAGAACTTGGAGCTCACAAATACATAAATTGAAGTGATTTATGAACATAATTTGGATCAAATGGAAGTCACAACAACGAGTTTACCCAAAAATTAGGGTCAGTCATAATTTTCAAGTCAGTTAAGACCCTCTAAATTTCTTATAGAGGCTCAATCAGACCATTTCTTTCGAGCCCAGAGCATAAGTAGAGTTCAAGTTCCTAAAATTAGCCTAATCAGGATCTCTGATGATCAGCATTAAAGCCCAATTGACACGAACAATATTTAAATATCAGAAGGAGAGTCCATTAGCTATTGGGTTAGGTTTAATTAAAACCTATCATTAAGGCCAAAAACCAATTAGTGAGCCGAAATGATCATTTGGGCCTAGGGATTTGGTTTCACATTCTAGAAGATTGGCTTTTTCCCCCCCTAAAGCTATTTTAAATGATGTAAAAAGAGGTAAAATAGCCTACAACAACAACATCAAATCTTTATCTCATCATATGAGGTCAATTACATGAATCATTTTTCTCCGTTTTATCCTTTTAAAAGTCCAATTCACATTTAAATCTAATAAAAAAAGATCATTTCTAAATACTTTCTAACCAAGCCTTTTTAAGTCAACCTCTACGTTTCATAACATAGACAATATTTAATACATTTACTCTGCTAACCGGGTCCAAAAAAAACTGACATTTTATATGACCAAATCATCCAAGGCCACTCTCTATAATCTTATTTGCCAATGGAGCTACTCCAACCCATTCAAGCGTATACTCGTTTCAATCGAGCCACAATTAAATTTATATAACTTGTTTTCTTTATAAGACAAAATTAGGCAGTTGCCTCATCTCAAACATTTTGAGAATAAATATATGTTTAAAGTAACTCTTCATCATGTAGCAGCCATTTATAATATAAAAATTTCGATTGATCCATCATATTAGATGAGATAGTCATATATATGAGTTACCTCATGAAGAGAGTCCACAGTTAATCTTAAGTTTTCGGTTGAAATTCTATTATTTATTTGACTTGAAAAAAATGAATGGAATGCAAAGTCAAATGATGATAGTTGCCGGTGAGGTGGTCAGCAATGGTTGATTGGCAGTGACAATTGATAGTGGTGGCAACAAGAGACCGATAGTTGCAATGACAGTGGCCAGCAACAACCAACAGGCAGCAACAATGTATCAACTTGCAGTGAAGAAAATGATCAAAATTAGATAAGCTTACAATACATCAAAAATAAAACGAGTGAAAAAAAAAATTCACTAAAATTTTACACTATATTCCTTAGTCATGAGATCAAACAACCAAATTTCAAAATCTCCTGCATGTAAAATACTCCGCATTCTTTTTTTCAGCAAATCAAATAGCCCCTCAGGCACAACTTTTCCCTCAATCAACCACTTTCATAGGAGCTCTATACTCATTCAACAAAGTCTCCTAAATCTCAATATCAATATTTCAAATAAATAAACATGTGATTCGCCAACTAATTTTAATATGAACATTTGAAAAACAACAAGGATTTGCGGATAAACCTTCACCACAGTACACCCTCAAAAAGACAGATTATTCTGTGTAAACGTCGAAGGCAGCTCTATATCCGAATACCAATCAGAATGAATCACGTCAGTCATACTGAGCCTCGAGCTTTAGCATCCGGACAGGTTCCGCTTCCGCACAAAATATTTTTTCCTCAAAATGAGGAAAGCGTGTTACAGTTTCTGTAAATGATGATAGTTCCTTAAAAAAGTGTTAAATCTACATCATCACTTGGTCGCCTGATAGAAATTAGGTGATAAAATATTTTTAATAAAACTGCACAAATTGAAGAGAGCAAATAAAAGCCAATTCATAGATCTCTCTGTTAGAGAGAAAAACTAGTCCTTTTTTTAGGGCTGAAAACAAAACCCCACACAAGCCTTTTTCATAGGCTAAAAGCTATGTAATTAAAAAATAATCAAGAAGTTGGAACACAAAATAAGAGATATATAAAAAGCACAACCAAATAGTATTATACTGAGGAACACTAATACATATTTATATTAATAAGCCTAAATCACTCCCCTTCCCTAATATATTTTCCCTCTTTTATTTGAAATTCAATTAGAAAATTCTTTCATAATTGATTCTCCTAACATAATGAATTAATTCCTTAATGGGCACCACCAAATCAGCTAAAATCGCCTCCCAAGATTCCGCCCCTCCATCCTGGGTTGTTGTATTAATACACCCGTCCAAAAATACCACATTGTCCTCAAGGTGGAATGAAGAGAACTGCAGTTGAATAATCTGGTAAGACTCCCACATGGTCTCGTGCTGCGGTAGATCCTTCCACTTGATCAACACCTCTTTACTTCTTGCTCCCCGTCACACTCTTTAACCTCTAATAGTTCCAACAACACCTTCGTGTCGTCCAGCAAGGTTGGGGGAAGCGTAGAAGATGGAATGTGCTCTCCTATCACTCGTTGCAATTGGGACACATGAAACACCGGGTGGATGGCTGAAGATGGTGGTAATTGTAGGCGCTATGCCACGGCCCCGATGTGCTCCACTATCTCATTAGGACCAAAATATCGTGTTGTAACTTATCATTCGGTCTTTCGGTGATAACTTATCAGTCCGTCTTTGAGACATAGTTTTCTGGCTATAGTGATGGAACTTCAAATACACCCTATCCTCTTCATAATTTATTGAGCTCTCAACAAATGCCTCTTCAATTCCCCCAAGATCATGTCTCTATCCTCCAAGTACTATTCTATCGAAGCCACTGGTGTGTTGCCTTGTCCATAATATATCAAGTGAGGCAGATCTCTTCCATTTAACAATTTAAACGGTATAGTCTGAGTTGCTGATTGATAGGAAGTGTTATACAAATACTTTGCCCAAACCAACCATTTTGCCCATAACTTCGGTGTATCTTATATAAAACATCGCAAATAGGTCTCCACACTAAGATTGACCTCCTTTGTTTGTCCATCCGTCCGAGGATGATAAGCAGTGCTCATTTTCAAAACAATACCTTGCATTTTGAACAATTCTCTCCAGAATTGGATCAAGAAGATCTTGTCTCGATCCAATGCAATCGATTATGGGACCCCATATAGTCTCACCACCTCCCTCATGAAAGTCGTTGTTGTTGATACTACTGTATAGGGTTGATGAAAGGGAATGAAATGGGTATACTTACTCAATCATCCACTACCACTAGTATCGTAGTATATCATTCTGATTTTGGCAGCCCTTCAATGAAGTCCATGTTCACTTTCTCCCACACCTTTTCTGACAGAGCTAATGACTGTAGGAGCCCTTCTGAAGACATTACTAAATATTTGTGCCTCTAGTATATATCACATCAAGACACCATCTTCTTGACATCCTTTTGAATACCCTCCCAATACAGCTCTACAGAGAGTCGATGATGTTTTTTTGACCCCCGAATGTCCCCCAATGGCTATCCCATGAAACTCCTAAAGCAATCAAGGAATGTAAGAAGAGATCTTTGGAAGCACAAATCACCCATAATAAAGCAACTTCTATCCCACCACTAAATATCCGAGATGGTTGTTCTTATTTCCTGCTAGCTACTCACTAATTTTTCTCAACCATTCACTATGTTCGCTTTCTCTCCGCAGTGCTTCCCAGTCAACTAAGAAGGGCACAATAAATGGCATCATCCGAGGTTCACCCATGCACCTGGATAAACCATGTGCTGCATTGTTTTCAACTCTAGGTCGATGCTGAATCTCGAAGTCATAACCTAATAGCTTGGAAAGCCATTGTTGATGCTCCATGGTGACCATTCTCTGCTTCAATAAGTACTTGAAACTCTTCTAATCAGTTCTGACGATGAAATATCTTCCCAATAAATAAGGCCGTCATTTCTAAATGGCCAACATGATTGTCATCAGCTCCCTCTCATAAACTAACTTGAGCCTTTGCCCTGGCCGTCAACACTTGGCTAAAATAGGCCACTAGTCTCTGGTTCTGCATGAGTACCGCTCCTAATCCAAAACCTGAGGCATATGTCTCATCTAAAAAAGACTGGCTGAAATCTGAAAGAGCTAACACTGGTACACTAATCATGGCCAACATGATTATCATCAGCTCCCTCTCATAAACTAACTTGAGCCTTTGCCCTGGCCGTCAACACTTGGCTAAAATAAGCCACTAGTCTCTGGTTCTGCATGAGTACCGCTCTTAATCCAAAACCCGAGGCATATGTGTAGCGTCCCATATATCAATAGTGAAAGGATTCATCTGACATTCTTCCATATATATATTTTTTTCTCATTCTTTTCTTTCTTTTTCTCGTTCAGATCAATACAGCCATCCAGAGATAATTGCATTACAGAAAAGAAATACAACAACTACTATAATTCACATTTCAACATATAAACAGTCAAAAGGAACGAGCTCTCACAATCTCCCCACCTTAGAAAAATGTCGTCCCGACATTTCCCTTAAGTGTCCGGAGCAAAACGAAACAAAACAAATCCAATCAATCGGAAAATCGTACAAATCACATCGAAACATACAATAAACTAAACTCGTACCAGTCACATCTTCAGGCACTGAAGAAACATCTTCCACCATTGCTTGTATGTTTTCAGTCTGAACATTCGGAACAGGTCCTTGCCTAAGTCCAGAAATTGGGCATTCCGTCATTCTATGTCCATATGCACCACATCGGAAGCATTGCCCTGTTCTCCGATAACATTGTCCCGAATGTCTTTTCCCACAACATGCACAAACATTAATCCTTGCTCTGCTACCTTCCCCACTTTTCTTGCCACGGCCAGAGCGTTTTGCTAACTTGTCGCTCACCATTTGAGCGACCATGTCAGCAAACTTATTCATATTTTCAGATGTGAGCGGGAAGTCAGTAGCAGACTCAACTGTCTTTCCTTTGGGATCCATTGGCCTGGTCAATACAAATCATTCGAATCAAATAAAATCGTGGAAATCAAGCACGTAAAACAAAACAAATCAAATAATGCAATCATCACTATCACTCTGAATATAAGCAAATCCTTTCACTACACTCGCTTTGATACCAATTGTAGCGTCCCAGATATCAATAGTGAAAGGATTCATCTAACATTCTTTCATATATATATATTTTTCTCATTCTTTTCTTTCTTTTTCTCGTTCAGATCAATACAGTCATCCAGAGATAATTGCATTACAGAAAAGAAATACAACAACTACTATAATTCACATTTCAACAAATAAACAGTCAAAAGGAACGAGCTCTCACAATATGTCTCATCTAAAAAAGACTGGCTGAAATCTGAAAGAGCTAACACTGGTACACTAATCATAGCCTTATTCAACTCCTCAAAAGCCTGTGGCAGACTCTCCCCATTTGAAGTTGTCTTTCTTGAGTTGTTTAGTCAACAACCCTACTATAGAACCATAGCCTTTCACAAATTTTCGATAGTACCTTGTGAGTCCTAAGAATCCTCTCAGCTCCTTTAAAATCTTGGGTATGTGCCACCTGAGCATAGCCTCAATCTTACTTTGGTCAGTTGTCACTCTCTCCTAAGATACCACATATCTTAAATACTCCTGGGCGAAAAAAACACTTCTTCTAATTGGAAAATAATGAGTGCTCTCTTAAGGTAGATAGCACAACTCCCAAATGCTCCAAGTACTCCCCTTCAGACATGCTATATACCAATATATCATCAAAAAATACCAGCACAGACCTTCGCAGGTAGGGGTGGAATACCTTATTCATTAGAGACTAGAAGGTGTCCGGTGCATTGGTGAGGCCAAAAGGCATCACCAAGAACTTATAATGTCCCTCGTGTGTCCGAAAAGCTATCTTGTGGGTGTCACCTAGTCGCATTCTGATCTGGTGATATCCGGATTTCAAGTCGATCTTGGAGAATATCACAAATCTGTGCAACTCATCTAATAATTTATCAATGACTGGTATGAAAAACTTGTCAGGTACAGTTTCCTTATTCAGGGCACTGTAGTCTACACAGAACCTCTAACTTCCATCCTTCTTCTTCACCAATAACACAGGACTAGAGAAAGCGCTTACACTAGGCTTGATAATTCCAACTTCAAGCATCTCTCTAATCAATCTCTTAATCTCATCCTTCCGAACCTAAGGGTGACGATATGGCTGGACACTAATGGGAAAGACTCCTTTAGACGATAGAATGCTCGTGCTCCCGACGGAATGACAATCCCTAGGGAAGTTGAAATACCTCCCTGAATTGTTGAAGCAGTGGCTGGACCATATCTGGAATGTCCGTTACATCTTCTATCTCTCCTCCCTCCAGACTATGAAGCTCCACCAAGAATCCACCTCCTTGTAGGGGATGAACCAGGGATTTCAAAGAAATCATTACTTTAGATAAGCTGGGGTCAATGTTTAAAATTGTGTAATCGGGTATTGAGATGTTTTTTGTTCGTGAGGTGAGGCGTAAGCCTCAAGGCATTTTGAGTCGTAAGCCTCAAAATCAAAAGATTGCGTAAACATAAAATGATAATTTTTTTATATACTAATGAGCAAAAAATATAAAATATAAAAAGGCACAAGTTATGAAGTGAAATCAAAATATTCCAATAATAAGACAATATGAAATATAGTTTAACTCAAATTCTATCTTTCCCCAATCACAGTAATTTTTTCATTAACATATAATTTCAAAAATAAATAGCAATGAATACAACAATATGTTGGACAACCAGGGGTCCAAGGGGGGTTTGCCCCCTGGCAGGGTTTGACCTACCCAGTCAGGTCGTGGGGTCAAGGGGCAGC